GCAATACTGTAATATATCATATGTGGACTTGCAGGAGGTTTCAAAGGAATATAATGTCTACCAATTTGCATGTACGTGCCAAAGCACATACATCGGAAGAAACGAGAGAAGGGTTAGTGCTCGCATTTATGAACACATATCAAAGAACCTGAACTGAAAGGTCCAAAAGCATTAAACAGTGCGATTGTTCGTCATCTATTGGACACTGGTCATACTGTAGACAACCTGAAGTCGTTCAAAATAATCAACAAGCAAAAGAAACCTAGCTTGCTACGCTTTGCTGAAGCAATTGCCATCAAACGACTTAAACCAGATATATGTACACAGAAAGAGACAGTGGTGAATCTTGCACTGCCCTGGTGATAACAACTTTCATGAGTCACTTTTTCACGTTTAGAAAACTCTACTCTCTCATCTAAACATGACTCGCCCTACCTTGTTTCTTTTCTTCCCCTTTTTCTATTGGCTATTAGATAAGATGATTTCTTTAGTTACGCAATCTACTTTTTTGTTATGCTCCTTCTAGCTAAACCTTGTTTCTATACGCACACATATATAAGCAACCCTGTTTTCTCGTTTCCAAGCCTAATTGTCTAATTACTCTATAAATAGTCAGTGTTTTTAACTCCTAATCAGTTTAATCATTCCGGACCATGTTGCTTTAATTCCTACCAATTACTCCTTATGATCGTGGAAAAGTATGTCCATATATTTAATGTAGTTCAAATTTTTAACGTTCAGGTTGTAACCAGTTGAGAAGAATCCTCAAAATAATAAAAAAATGAGCTCAAATTATCCTGGTACAATTGTTGTTCTTGCTTTGTTCAAGTTTATCAATGTCTATTAGCTAAATACTTATTCTGGGGAACATACGTGAAGAACCTGTCCTTTGTCAATTATCTTTGTTCAACGACATTAAACTCATCATGATAAGCAGGTTTATCAGATTAATGAGTTACCATGTTCTCATCCGTGTAAGGAAGTCTCATAAACAGAATCTTATAAACAACAAAACATAAGAATAAGGACACATAAGAAAAGAACAACTCACATTTGACTTAAGTCGTATGAATTGTTGATAGTTACGTGAGTCAATTACAGAAATAATATCTGTGTACAAATATATCCATCACATTCTTTAAACTTTGATCCAAAGTGATATGTCTTCATAATTAGATGCGATATTCTGTCAATAATACTGAAGGTGTTATACTTTGATCGAGATAGTTTTTATTTTCAGAAATAGTAAATGAAAACAGTATTCTTCATATCAAGGACATTTACATTTATACCAAAGTCTGCTTTGTTTATAGTGGATATTTGTGGATGATAGCATGAGAAACAGTGAATGCGACAAAGTTTACTACAAATTTGAATGGCTTATATGATGAGGGGAAGTTTTATTTAACTCCTGGCTAAAATGACGTAATACTGCAAAATATTTAGATGCAATTCAAATACAGAAAATCTTCTCCAGATGGATTATTCACATCTCTGAATGACTTCTTATATTGCATCACCAGTTAGTATATATAATATATGTACTGATAAGAATAAAGATTATTACCATGATACTGAAGGTGGTAGCGTTGCGTAGATGAATAAAGGAAACTTTAGAAGATTACTAAAGATTTGGGACTTTGAAAACAGGTCAAATATTGTCAAATAATTAAAGGTGGAATGTTAGTAGCAATAAAAAAAGAGATGAGCAAAGGAACTGTGGTGAATCCAAGTGGTGAAATAAAATAAAACAATGACGACATATCTATGACCAGGATTAAGGAAAAGGGTTCCACAAGACATATTTGAATTCATTGTTTTAGGTTTTGGTGAATTTATACATTAAGTGTTGGCTAAATATATAAGTGGATAACACGTGGACATTTTTGTTTTTTTGTTTTGAATTGATTTGAGTTTTTTTGACTTTGATGACCTTATTTTGTTTCATCGCCTGTTCTTATTTGCTTAGAATTCTTGTATTCATTCAGAACACCTACGTAATTTCGTGTTATCTACTTTGTTTATGTGTGCATCCTGAGTAAAACTCACTCATCAAACTATTCATATTATTATATAACTTCTTTTAATTTAATTCTTTTAAATTAAAGCCAGATACATTGCATAAGTCATTGAGTCTACACATGCAAAACATCCTTTTAAGGTCATTGCTTATATTTTGTGCATACTCCACAACTAAATTCATAATGTATACTTATTTTCTTTCTCTGTGACAGGTGTTATATCTGACTGAGACAAGTAGTCTCCTTTCAATCTGCCTAACTGTGATCATTTGGACAGTGGTGGTCTGTATATGTCTATTGATATCCGCTATGCTTCCAAAAATCTCAAAGTAAAAAAAGACCGACAAGTGAAACAGAATTTGTCCATTACGATTCTTGCATGAATAAATCCACCTTTTTATTCCTGCTGTTGGTATGCCATTTGACATATCTACTCTGTAATCATATGTGTAAAAATTGTTTCATAGGTTAGGACGACTTTCATTCATGTCTCTAATACTTCCATTATAGTAAAATTTGTTTCGATAAAGTCTCACAGTGTTATACAGTTGTGTTTACTGGTGCCGTTTTGAGCATAATTATTGCTCATAATCATATCAAGGTACTCACACGACTTCCTAACTTCATTTATATAGTTCCATTATTTTTCACTTAATTTTCGCTTGATTTGATTGGTAGTAGTATTTTCCATATTTCAGGTATGATTGATGAATCATTTCTCTTGCATGTGTTAGTGTAGACTCGATGAACAAGGATTCAGTAATCAACCTCTCTCTCCACCTACCTATGTTACTTTTTAGAATTTTAATCCTCTCCCACCCATCATATTGTGTGATTGTGTGTTAATGCATGTATTGGAACCGCTGAGCTTTTTTATAAATTAGAAAGAAGAGAACACGAAGTTCAACAAAGATATCTTTTCGGCGATTTCATTTTCAAAAGCTGTACAATCGCATTTATATAAATTATTTTACATGGATACAATTATTATTTGTTTAATTTTACATAGTACGAAGGTGATAATAATTTTCAACTTGATATGAAAGTTTGAAGGTACGAATATAGATTACAAGCGGCTTGGAGCCAAGATTGCATAGGATTAGAAAACAGTTACAATGTATGCGAAATTAATATTTGATAACTGAAGAAATGAATTTAAAGTCGAATAAAGGGTGATAATTATTTTCAACTTGATATGAATTACAAGAAGCTTAGAAACGCAGAGATAGAACGAATTAAAGGTGTGAACAAAATGAGCATGGAAACAAACTGAAATCAAAATTTTCAATTTGAAATGTTAGTTAGCAGGTGTGAATAAAGATTATAAGAGGCATGGAAACAAAAATTACACAGGATTAGAATTTAATTGTAAAATGGTTATTCCAAGGGAACTATAGATGTGAACAGGAAAAGCATGGAAACCAACTTAAAATAACTGTTTGTATAACTGAAAGCAAATCTTTGAATCGAATGATGACTGAGGGAATAAGGATCAGACACACAGCGAACGAAAAAGGATCAAAAAGAGAACAGAGGACGAAAAAAGAAGAAGAAAAAAACGGAAGCAAAGGGAACATAACGAACAAGGTCCATGGAGTTGTAGAGGTTGGACTAATGTCTTTTGAACACACAGCCTCGGCTTCTCAATGCATATTGCGAGGGCTTCTGCACTACAAAGAAGTCGGAAACATATTGCTTTTGGTAGGTTTTTATTGATTTTGTAAGTCACTTTGAAAGAATCAGTTGAGATGTTGTGGGAGGTGTTGATCAAATGTTCAATAATGGCTTTTCTGATTGAACAGGTGCCTCTTTTTGCAGCCACGCTGTATAATGCTCTCTGACACGTTTTGAAAAAAGACGCGCATACAACGACCTTTGTACCTAGCTCCACGCGAGTAGGTGAACTGGTATATGCACATTGAGCTGGCCATATGTTCGAGTTTGTCCTTTGTGTTGTTTCGAAGTATTGGACGGCTAGAGCATGTCATTCATAGTGTTGCTGCAGGGAACGTCTTCTTTAAAGAGCTGGATATTCTCCTCTTAGGATATCAGCTGCCAAATCTCCCTTGACATTCAGGTTAGATTACAGCGTTTTCTTTGGCGATGAAACGCATTCTTCTATTTTCGGTTTAGGTTTCATGTTCTCTTTGGCAAAACGTGTCAGGTAGCCACTTTGAGCCAGGATATTTTTGAGGAATAGGAGCTCCTCTTTCAAGCAATCGCTGTTGTAGATGATTCTAATGCGATGAATTAGTGCGCTGATGAGAGCTCGTTTTCGGCTCAAAGGTATCCAACTATAGAAATGCGTTAGTTGGCCGTTCCATGTCGGATTCTGTGGATGGACCTCTTCAGGGTTTCATCATCTGTTCTTGTTAATTCCATGTCCAGAAATGGAATCTTTGAATCATTTTCTAATTCCACTTTTCCCATTTTCTAAATTACTTATCTTCTCGGGGTCAACCATTCTTGATAATGATTTGTCACCAGGATAGTTTGGCAAACAACAATACTAGTATCTGATAGCCCAATGTAACATAAACGTTTACTAATAATATTTGAGAAGACATTCAGTAAGTTTAGTGTTCATACTTGGCCTTGCGATAGCAGTGAATCTCAAAAATATTACTTTCAGAAACTGATTCACTATGTCTTATCGATTAAAACTCTGATCTGTGGAATCATTCAGAGGAAAATGGTAGCACTTAAAGTCATACAAGAAATAAAAGTATAGTCGAAATAAGATTAACGCTATCACATCTTCATCATTCCTTAAGAAAGGTAAGATCAATATTTTAAGCAATAAAACAACCAATAGTTAACAATACCTCGTAAACGGCACACTTGATTGAATTTCATTGATGTTTTCAAGGCGAACAAGAACAGAGAAAAATGTTTATTTATTTCTTTGTCTGTGAAGATCAAGGTCCATGTATTTCCAATAATAAATTGAAAACAAAATAATATCAAAACTATACAATATAAATATTCACTGACTTGCTGATTTATGAGAAGAAGGCATGACAAGTAAGTTGTGTGTGACAGTTTCATTATAAGCTATAGTTTTAAGTAGTGACATTTGCATCTTCATAAACTTGATTTATGTTGCCTATAATATACATGTATTTGTATGCTTCATGCACATTATCTGCTGTCCATGCCCATGAACAGCACTCATGAGTGTTCTAGATTCTGTGGATATGTTATCATGTGAAACAGCGGATTTCTTTCATTGAACATCCTGTACACAAAAACAGCTTCTCATGGAAAACAAATCACTGTGAGGGAAAAAATCTGAGGGAAAATGACTATCAGTGACCGAGAATCGTGAATACTTACGTCGTCACGAATAAGGCATTTTAGTGGCACCTTGATTCTTTTTCACCAACATCCAGGATGGTGTGTTAGACAAGTTACTTTGGCTGTACACAGTTATCAAGGCTACTGAGCCACCGAATCCTTTTTTGAATAAAGTAATATGTAACCTGTGAATCCATGCACATCTCTACTAGAAGCACCTGGCACAAAACAGAAGTTCAGTTAGTCGAATTAATACATACTTTGTCCTATACATACCCTTCACTTACAACTACACGAATACTTGCTTTTCAGTCTTCGATTAGCTCAGTTGTCATATCTAGGGCTCTACGTAATCTTGAAAAGATACCAGATCAAATGAAACGACAGATGCTAGTTTTTACACACGATTATGTCGCTATCGTAACTAATATAGTATGATTCCGTAAAATAAGCATAACGTAATTTTCTTCGAATTCAATACGTCAGCCAGCAATATGCGAAACATTCGTTGAGAAGTAACTGAATCCCATAGGATTCAGCAGACAGCGTACCTCAAAAATGAAAATGTAATTGAATATCGGTTTTTATATAATTATATTTTATTGTTGTCACGGCTTCCTAGTTGGAAAAGGGCTTCAACAGCACAAATTCATTTTGTCAAATTTTCTGCTGTCTTCTCGGGCTGGCCTCATCAATGTCATAACCTTTCATCTCAACTATTCATTGTCTCCTCCATTTAAACCCCCGATGCCGAAATCATCATTCATCACTCGAATTGCACTCAAGGGCTGTCATAGTAGACGTCTGCCTACATTGTGAAGTCTTTTCTCAGTAGAATGCGTCTCCACTTTGTTGAAGACCATTGTGGTGAATCCCGTCTAATTTTTATTGTGTTCTTCAGATGAAATCCATGTTGTTTTGTCTATATCCTTATGCGTTTATACCCAGTCACTGAAGGCACATAAGTCAGCGAAAGGTTCTCCATTACCATTTTTTTCTCGACATTCCTTGAGATCATTGTCCGCTTCAAGTTCAGACGACATTCATATCACTTCTTAAGAAATAAGTGTTGCTATGTGGGATGTTTCCGTCACTGCTTGCAGTTGTCTGTTAAAGTTATACTTCTATTATTCTGAGTTGTTTGTGGGTGCGTACCATCGAATAATCCTTACCTACCCTCACTTTGGGTTGAATATTGCTGTCATAATCCTGAACGAGGTCAGTTTCTACCGCATTAGAGCTTAGGCTACGGTTGGTGATGGCTAATCCGTGTATTTCATCGTGGTTTTCTTTTGAGTGATCGGAGTGTAATGTCCAGCTGATAATATAGATATTCACAAAAGTCCAGCAAATAGTTTTGATAAACAATAAAGGTGAAGGATATTCTACAAAAAATTATATGCATCATATATAGGTCATATCATATATAGCACACGAAAAATATCATTGTAACTATAATTGTATTTTCCCATTTGTATTTTCCGAAATATTGTGTTTTCTTCACCGTTTTACAGATCACAAAATGTCAGGAAGAAGTCTGCGAATAAACCGATTAAAAAATTCACGTTTGAGTATGAGATCAGGTAGTCTCTTACACTTCTTTGTTTGGGTAAGAAATTGACGCATTCTTCCCAAACTGCTCACCATAGATGTTAATTGATACATTCGTGATGCTCTTGGTGACATTGGCCATGGTTGTAATGGTGAACAAAATGTAAGATTAAATTTCACTAACATTTTGGTGAAATAATTTCCTCCTTGGTGTAGCGAAGCACTTTGTATATGGATTACAACACACAGTTGGTTGACTATTGTCCTCATGTGAGTCTGTTTTGTGATTTTTCAAGCAAGCACATTTGCACATACAATTAACTTTATATCACAGGTTTCAAACGTAATCCATCAATTAATATAATAATTTATTGAGGATTAGATTTTAGCAGGTATTCGTCTCTTTAATTTTGCTTTATTCTGCTGTCTGTCTAATGATTGCATCAATAATTATTGACAAAATCGTGGAAGTATTCTGAAAGAAGTTAATTGGTAAAATTTGAATGAAAATGACAATCAGCGCGTAGTCGTGTTACATGTTGTGTCTTGCAACAGTTTTATACTAGTTATTCACTGAAGAAAATATTTTTCTTAATATAACATGCTGCTTTGTGCATGAAGGTCAGGGTGGCATCCACAGAATATATGCCGTTCCTCACATAAATGTATGCCTGATTTGAAAACGAAACTTTAGTCACAATGTTAATTAAGCCGGTATAAATTATTGCTTTTCAGATTGCTTGGAGCAATTCCAGTTCTCATTCTTGGATTACTCAAACTTCTTGGATATCGTCGTGAGATTGATCATTTCTTCATCTCATTCAGTGTAAGTGTTTTACCTCAGTTAACTGAACCGTCCAACGCATTACAAACAAAAGTCATATGCCTGAAACTGATGCGATGTTAATACGGATTTTATGAACACGGAAATAAACTTCGTTATGGTCCCATGATAATTTGTTCGTGTGAATGATTAACCACACATAGCTGAAGCCTCGATGTATTCAAGACGATTTTAGATGATAAGGGATACAGTCATCACCACGACTTAAACAAATACAACTGTCACGAAGAGATCAAGCAATTTAGTATGCATTTTTCTATGTGACAGGTTTTCTGAATTGAAGCACTATGCAGTGTGAGGTATTCAAGGGCAGTACGTTTATGAAAAATTCTGGACGTTATATGAATCACGCAACTGTGAATCAAACAAGGTACTTTTACGGGAGTGAACTTCAAACATACTCGGTCTTTATTGTTTGCGCAGTTCTACAACATTATTTCCATCCTTAGTCGTCTTCTTATCGTACACCTGTCCATCAAATTTTTAATTCCAACTATATTTTCTGTTAAGAGTCAGCTGTGAAATATAAGATAAACTCTAGAGTTGTTTCAATAGATTCATAAGAAAGCAGAACTAAATTTCGTACTTAATGAGCTTGTGCGTGTGCAACAGCTTCACCTTGGGCTTTGGAAGAATTAATCAACAAGTGATAGTACAATTATCGTACTGCATAGTGTCTTACAAAACGGATGTGGATGCTTCAATGTCGACCTTATTTGAAAACCATGAATATATCAAAATCCACTTCACCAATTTCGCAAAGCAGACAAACAGGAAGATAGACCGTGTTCAGTTTCATTGAAGACATCTTCAGAGAGATGACGTTCACTGCTAAGGAATATTTTTAACCCTTGGGGTAAGCAATATAATTCTTTATGTGTATATCTAGATATATCTATACATTCAGGAGTAGGCAAGTTCTACTAGATAAATTCAGTAACTGAAATGGTGATACCTAGGCTAATTTATTCGTGAGGTCATGTATAATTTAATATCAACAACAAAAAGTCAACTATGTAAGTAAAATACTCTTAAATAAAACTGAAACGTATTAATACTATTTCAAAATAGAACCACAGCAATCAACAAATTTGTCTCCTATTGATATGCAATTCATTACTATAATCTACCAATGTTTTACTTTCTTCCATTTTAGTTCTTACTATGTTCGATGGGTTTTACTACCAGAATCCATACAATTGATTTGGTTCCTGCTTTAGTGGCAGTTGGTTCGATGGTTGCATTGACAGCACTTGTGGTCTTCCTGGCTCTATACCTGAGAAATATACAATTTCGTTCAACCATTATACTTTTCTCACTATTATGCTCTTCGGTCCTGGTTGGACTTATACTTTTCAGTATTGAATTCAATTTGGAAAAATCAGAACAGGTAACACTGATCAAATGTGATAAGATATGAGCATGGGCATTTGCAATTTATGACTTGGCCTGTGATTAATTCCTTGAGAATGAGGTGAGGTTGTCATACTGATAATAAAAAATATGTGGCAGTTTGACACTGAAAGTCAAGTAATTTTAATTTTACGAATGTTCGAAAGTTAGGTATTATCTCTGGGACACTGCACGTAATCCGTTAAATGATGGTATTACATTTGAATCGTTCATTATTCATGTTGACACGTGCATATTTTCAAAATTACTTGTGCACCACATGAGGATAGTTACTGGATTTACTGAGATATTTTGAAGCCTAGTATGGTTTATAGTATTCTAACAGACACCTTACAATGAACTACGCAGTTGGTTTTATCACAGTGCTTGAGACTCATCAATGTTGATTTACCATGCAAAATACGATGTGACATGCGATTGTGAATGCGTAATTAGGCAGATTACTAGGCATGTTTAGCTATTTAAGTTTGTTCATCAGTAATTTCAGTTTTGGAAATCCTAAAATTTAATACTTCGGTATGTGTATTTTAACTAATTCCGGCATATTGCTTTCCAGAAAGCCCTGTGGATTTCCATTGGGGTCTGCTTCACTTTTGCTATTGCATTAGTAAGTTTCTTCCTAATGTATTGGTAAAATAAGTTTAAAACGCATTTATCTTCTTTTAAACAAGAACAACTAAGATTGCGCTTTAAATGAAATTCACCTCACTTATATGTTTTTAACAGGCTACATATTCAGTTAAGTTCAAAATGTGTTTATAACTTGATCGTTTTACGATGAAATTTCTGAATATGAGTACTTGCATATTGCTCACAATTCGCATAATTGCCCATTTTCTCTGTTCATAAGACAGAAAAGTAAGTTGAGAAAATGAAGAGTACATTACTCAGCCTACTAGGTGAAAAAATTATTAGTAGTTACTTGGTGGATTCTTAGCATATCTAATTTGCCTAGTTAGATATCCGTCAAATTGAATGCAATATTTTGGTGTGTAACATCCGGTCTTCCGCGAGTCCGCTTACATATTGATCAATACACTTTTCTGTAAGGTGTGCATTCAGCTGAGCTATTTCATGCAAATATGAATCTGGCAGTTACCTTATAATACTAATATTTAAGAATGAGGTCATTTATTTTTATAAGTAATACTGTTTTAACTGAAATTTATAAATTGGTTAATGTAACGTACTATTCTTACATTGTAGGCTATTTTTTTGACGGTGAATAGAATACGTTTATGCATCTCATATAGAGATGTATACTGTACAATAATATTTCGAGCATTCTGTTTATGGTTGGAAATGCTTTTACTGTTTGCGGCAATGTATGCCCCCTTTGAGAGACCTCACGTTTCGTGTTCAAATGCATGAATACACCAGTATTTTCACCATGATTATAAGAAATCATTTGTGTTAAATAAATATTGAAGCATTTTAATCTCTTCAAGTTTTTGTTCTAAAATATACTTTGTCAAACGTTGAGCTGGTGATTTTGAAGCGTCCTGTAAGTTGAACACACAACAGATTTGTCGATTTTCAAGCTGCTAAACATGGAGTAGTTTCAGTTCAGTGCTAAGAGAAGAGAAAGAGACATTCGTGAATTGACTTTCTCTGATACAATCACCTCATGTTTATACATATATATATATATATATTCCTATAAGTTATTGATAAGCTTTGTTCTATAAACTACTACATTGTTCCACCTTTTCGAACCTTTCAATGATTTAACATTCTTGAATTTTTTAGAAGTTCGCCACTTGGGGTGGTTTATTAACTTTATTTCTACAATACAATTCTCTGATTAAAATTGACAACTCGTAGAATCTATTGTTTTCACAATGCATTCACTTAAAAATGGGGACACTGAATGTCACTTGTCTCAACTCATCCAATCTTACCAGTATTAGTATTATTACTCCCTTGGGTTCCTAGTGGAACATAGGGCTTCAACTGCACGTCTCCATTTTCTTCTGTCCTCTGCTGTACTTTTCGCCTGCATCCATGTCATCCAGCAGTCTCCTCAGCGAGTGTCCGATCCATCTCCACTTTCTCCTGCATATTTGTCGGGCGATTGCTTCTTGCATTGTTTGTTCCCATAATTCCTTGTTGGTGATTCTTTCCGGCCCGGCCATCTGATCTTCAGTATAGAGCGAAGACAGTTGTTGGTAAAAGTAGGTCTGCAACAGGCTATTAGAAATATTCTTTGTGACCCTCCTGCGAAGTTTCTGATCCGTATAGAAGAATTGACTTTACGTTTGTATTGAAAATCCGAATTTTGTTGGTGATGCTGAATGACGAAGATTTCCAGATTGGTTTCAGCTTGATGTGAATTTGTTTCTTGCCTTCCCGATTCTCGCTCGATTTGAAACCCTCGTCCATTCTGAATGCCTGTAGTTAAGACAATGCTCCCTAGATAAGTGAAAGAAGTAACCCTTTTTCAAATCCCTCCCTGTGATTGTGATTGACACTCGATTTTGCTGCTGCTTTTGTTGGTGGTGGTTGGTTATTTTCATAACCTCCGTCTTGTCTATGTTCACATGGAGTCCTGACTTTGCCATCTGCTTCTTCGACCAGTTTGTCGGTTTTCGCTTATAAGTCTTCGATTTTGTGTGACATCAATCATAAATCATCCACACGCGAAATGAAGGTCTTTTTAGGTTCTTCACGTCGGTCCAGGATATCCCTGTCTTCTCGTCTCTCACCCACTGTCTGACACATAATCCAGTCCATCACAATTAGGAATATCATTGGTGATAGTAAGCACCCTTATCTGACTCCTGTGTTTACTCCAAACGCCTAGCTGAGTTTTCCGTTGTGGATCACTTGACATGTGCCAGCGTTGTCGTACAGCTGTTGAATAAGGTTGATGAATATTTGGGGTACACCATAGTACTCGAGTAATTTCCAAATTACTTCACGATCAACACTGTCGAAGGCCTTCTCAAAGTCTATAAAGTTAAGGTAGAGGTTTAATTGCCATTCCATGCTTTGTTCCATGATGATGATTAGAGTTGCAATTTGGTGAGTACATGATTTGCCTTTCCTGAATCCAGCGTGTTCTGGTCGGAGTTCTGTTTCCAGTGCGTCTTTTATTCTCTCCAGGATGATGTGACTCAGGTTTTTACTTGGCGTCGGTAGAAGCTTGATTCCTCGCCAGTTCTTGCAGAGCCCTAAGTCGCCGTTCGTTGGTAGTTTCACGAGGTATCCTTTCCTCCAGTCAGTAGGCAGCTTTCCCTCCTTCCAACCCTTCTGCAATAATTGAGTCAGCATGTCTGCTGTAGTCTCTAGGTCCGCTTTCAGTGCTCCAGGGGGTTTTCCATCTGGTCCAGCTGCTTTATCAGCTTTCAGAAGCTTAATTGCATCCAAGACTTCAGCTCTCGCTGGAGGATCGGTGTCAACTTGCAGTTGAGTGCCCGCTGTTGTTGGTATTTCTGGACGGGTTTCAGGTAATGGTCGGTTCAAGTGTCCTTTGAAGTGATCCGCCCATTGATTATTCTGTTTTTCTTCCTTGGTAATTGGGTTCCCTTGGCTGTCTTTTATAGGTTTCGCTTTTGTTGGTCTCTTCCCGGATAGAGATTTGATTATCTGATATAGTGTCCTCAGGTCCCTTTTGCCTGCTGCCTTCTCAGCTTCAGTGACGAGGTTGTCATAGAATTCTTTTTTGACCTTCCTAGCACTCTTCTTCACATCTTTATCCAGTGCTTTGTAAGTTGAGCTCAGTGTCTCCTTCTCCTTTCCGTCCTTGCATTGAATCATTTTCTTTTTCACCATTCTGCCCTTCTCTATTAGCTTCCAAGTGTCCATTGAGAGCCATTCCTTGTCTTGTCTCTTCTTTCTTCCTAAAACCATTGAACATGTTTCGTTGAGAATCGCCTTCAGAGACTTCCAATGTTCTTCCACGCATGGTTCTTCAGTGGTGTCGCGTAGTGTTTCCTGCTTTGCTCTGACAGTTGCAGTGAAACTGTCTTTTGTGGTTGTGTCCTTCAGTAATTGAGTGTTGAACTTGCCTTGTAGCCCATCCTCAGCTATCCTCGTGACTTTTAGCTTCATCTTGAAAGTCCGTAGTACTAGATAGTTGTCTGAACCCGCATCTGCTCTTCTCCACGATCTTGTGTCCAGTAGGCTACATCTCCACTTCCTTGAGATTGAAATGAAGTCTATCTGGATTTTGGTGTTTCCATCTGGTGAAATCCATGTCGTCTTGTGTATATCCTTGTGTTTGAACACACTGCCACCAATCACCAAATCGTTGATAGCGCAGAAGTCTGAGAAAGGTTCACAATTGTTGTTCATTTCGTCGGGGGTCTCGCCACCCATTGTCAATTTTCTTCCTGTGTTGTCTTCTCCCAGCTTCGCATTCATGTCACCCATCAGGATTTTGATATCCCCATTTGTGACGTTGTCCATTATTGCTTGTAGTTGTCTGTAGAACGCCTCCTTCTTCTCTTGTTCTGAGACGTTTGTAGGCACATAGTATTGAATGATTGTAACCTTCCTTCCTTATGAGTTGAACTTGGCTGTCATTATCCTGGAGGAAATTGTTTCCCACTGCGTGACAGCTCTGATTGCTGTTGGTGACATCAAGATTTCCACTCCCTCGGTGTGCTCATGGTTGCCCTCTAGGTGGCCGGAATAGATTATTGTCTTTCCAGTAGGTAGTTGGCACCTCCCAGTTCCGTTCCATCTGCTCTCGCAGATTCCCAACACTTCTATTCTGTACCTTCTCATTTCAGCGGCTATTTGGGCAGCCTTTCTAGTTTCGTACATTGTACGAACATTCCAGGTACCTATCCTTACTTTTGCTTTCATCGAAAGAAGGCACATCGGCTGACTTGCTTCCCAAAGGCTTTCACCAGCCTGCGTCATTTCACTTCCCCGATGCCAGCGAAAAGTAAGGCTTTTGCTTATGTTTTTAGAGTTTTAAATATATTTATTCGTTGAAGTTTCTGTAGCGATTTGGTTGTTTTGGAGGGGTGGAGTTGCTAGCACCACGCCTCAACCCTCCCTCTTTACGGAGGCTTGGGACCGGCTAGAAAACTAGTAAGCTAGTAATCTGGCAAGCTAGTATCTGACGAGGTTAATCTTACCAGTAATGACCATATTTAACCACATAATACATCCCGGAATAGAAGCATTCGAAAGGTATGAAAGTGTACTATGATTTTCATGGCTGATGAATACATCCACAACTAATTATTCTTCCGTCATCCTTATGGGCTTTAATTTTGAATACTCACATTTATAAGCTTGCCTCATCAAAACGCAGTTTGTTTACTATTACCAAACAGTATTTCCTCAGGTTCATCTCGTTTTCCGTAGTCAAATGTAGCAAGTCTCGCGATCTTCCTTAGACCTTCGTCGTGGACGCCAAAATCGTCGTTTGTGAAACATGTTTAACTCTGGCAACGATCTCACCCTCAGTTGCAACCATTGTTTGTTTCTTCATTCTCTTTACAACCCAATACCAACTTTTTGGCATTTCTATTGAACAACCGACAGTTTGTTGGTTCCTTGTCAGATTTCCTGCTAACTGATTATCAAACACTTCTGCCTTATTCAGTAGCACTATAAAAACAAGCACATAACTGAAATGTTGAAGCCTTCCAACTTGTTGACTTTTCTAACGGACTAGTATATCTTGGTTATTGCTTATGAAGTAATATGCATCATCCACTCTTGAGCCACACTACTCAATTTAATGTGTCGTTCTAAATGTTACTGAGAGAACATTTCCCTTATGTATGTTAACTGCATTAAGATAACGTGTTTAGATATTTATTTTCATAATCAGGGTTGACATTCCCGTAATTTGTGTGGAAAGTGTTTATTTTCAGCATATGTCGACAGATAATGTCAGGGAATTTGAAAATACGGGAAGTAGTTGTGCTGGATTATTCATGTAAGGTACATAAATTAACGGTTTGCGGCCTATGTAACCCCTCACATCGCTAAGCTAGTAATGAGACATAAAAAGGATAGGTTGGGCATCGGACTAGCAACCTCATCCTGCAAAAGTAAATACCACTGCTCCTGAAACTGCAATGCTCTAGCTTGAAGCCTTTTTTCTACTGGGTATGTAAAGGAATTGTAAAAAATTATTTTAACGATTGAGGACATCAAGTCCAGCAGCCATCCTGAAACGTGTAAGATTTACAGGAGCTTTATTCAGCTGACGTCTGAAATGATTTCGCATGTCCACTGGTAGACTGGAACTGTGGTTACTCAATGAGTTAAATAAACCATCTATCGAGAAGAATTAATTTTGAAAATTTATTTGTATCGGCTCAGGTTCTCATTAACTGTAAAATGGAGACGTTGACAAATGTCTCTGGTCATATGATTTCATAATACTTTGAAACGTGACGTAAAGAATTACAAATACGGGTCCTGCTATTAGGACATGAAAATAAGACTTATTATTTAAGAATGAATAATTGTGTTTGCTATTTTATGGAGTTTTATTCCCCAAATACCATCATGAAACCACACTGATATGGTAGTACAAAAGTAACACATAATAATGAAGTCCTCACTGTGATTACATTGTCTTATGGTTGTTTGATCTGCCACTGATGCAACTGTCACTTGTCGTATTTACAGTTGTTCACCTTATACCGCTCTACAAATGATTCCAACTTCAGTACGATCTATATATGGTATACGTAATAGGATAGCAGCCTTATTAGTAGGGGCTGGGATCACACTGTTCAAAATCTCACAAATTATGCATCGAAATAATTCATCTGTGTGTAGTCCGAAGGGGCAGCAACGTGTTATTCGAGTAGCAGGTTTTCGTCATTCAGACATCAATAAAATATGTA